ATGCCGAGCATATCCAGTAAGAAAACACTTTTATTATCCATGCCAGCTTAATTTTTAAGGCAATGAAATGGAAGACTGTCATTTCAGCAAGCAACTTATTTTCATTTGTGAGAATGGAATATTTTGAGTATTCTAATTGATTTTTGAGGATGATTTTACAAAAATAATAGTGCTTGTTTCTGTACAGTGTATATTTGCCTGTAAAGTAGGAGGAAACTAGAAACAGAAAGGTGAGAGCTAACAACTGACTTTTGATAAAGGTCAGAAGGAAGGTCATCAGTCCAGATGTAAAAGGTACATCTTGGGAAATGGAAAACTTTAAAGAAGAGCTGATTTTAAAAATCACTTTACGTGTACATTTAAAGTTTGCAAAGAGATTGTAGATTGTTTTTCATAATCTCAAGCTTCTCTTTTATTGTGTTTTACTGCAAATTCACTTGGATATTTTTCCAGAAATCTTAAGTCTGTAATTTGGCAGTAAAAAAGGTGGTTATCAAATCAATATTATTATATGGCTTTTAGTGTCATAAGAATTCCCTTTTGGAAACCCATAAAAACTCATTTTTCTCATCATAAAGTTTATCTGTCACTTTTCCATAAGGTCAGAGTACTAATGTTGGAGGTGATCTGCTCTGCGACAGAGTCAACAAAGTGGTAATAAAATTAAAAAATGCCACACGGCACTTTCTAAAGATTACGATTTTTTTTTTCATATCAATAAAATATTGATAGATATATTCTTAATGTCCCTTTAAAAATAGATGAAATGATAAGCTTGTCTCTAAATTTGCATTTACATATTTTATATTTTTATTAGTATTTTTGTGTTTTCTGGAGGTTAATTCTTAATTAAATGTATACTTTTAGTGATATGTTGTTTCTTTCTACGTTTGTAAGTTAAGATTTTTAGTGTAGATAGTTTTAAAAATATGATGAAAACAATTCCAGGAATTTTAGAGTTAGTTTTTATTACTTGAAAATGAAACATGATGTTTAAATTGTAAAAAGTACTAGAACCTGGAGGGTTTCATTTAAAAATATTTCTCTACCAAGTCTGAGCTGCCACTGGGTTAATATTTATTGAGTATCTATCTATCCACATATTGTATGTATATAAATATAGGAAAAATCTGAGTGGTTATGAGGAGACAGTCTTAAAGTTGCAAGTAGTTGAATATTCATTCTCTCTCCCCTTTTTAAACATGTGTAACGCATATGGATGATTATGCAATAACATTTTTCTGCTTTCTTAATACAGAAACTTAGGAAATTAAGTGTAAAACTAGTTCTTTTCAATTTTATTCACCTTAATTAAATATTTCCCCTTATTTTAAGAACTATACCTAATTATTTAAGGCATAAATTAATTTTGACATTTTACTTGAACTTTAAAACTTTGAGTTTGTACCATACTTCCTCATGTTCCTATTCAAAATTCAAGTTCCAGAATAGTATTTTAGTTTCTAACACACTCGATCAAAGTACAGTTCCAGATTCCTTATATATAAATGAAGATTGTGTCTGTTTACAATTATCTAATAATTTAAGGATATTTTTAATTAATTGAGTATTAGTTTTATTTCATGCTTTTAGACAAGCAATATTTGCAAAACCAAATTGTAGTGTTTTTGAATAGCTATAGCTCCATCAGTTTAACCCTTGCTGATAAGCTTTTTAATAAATTCCTTTATAGCAATAGTAGTTGGAATAATTTGAAACCTACTTGCAAGCTCCTGGAGGGGCATAAACCTTCAGTAATTGGCTTATTTCAAACAATTTGGCCTCCTTCCCTAAAGTTAAGAAAATTTTATAGTTTCTTTCAATTGCAAGTTGAAAGATATTCAGGGAAGATAGGTTGAAGAATAAAACGAAGCACAAAGAGAAAATAATAAAATCACTCATAATTCTACCCTGAGTGATTATGTCTACCTGTGTGCATGTGCCCTCTCTCATTTTCATATTCACTTCATTATATATTTTTATGTATTTGTTTTATTCATTCATGCAACAGTGAAATATTTCCTATGCCGATACTCTTACTCATTCTGATTTTTTATCATAATTATTTAATCATAAGAGTTTTTTTTGTTGTTGGATAATTTGATTGATTTCAATGTTGGGCAAAGACTTTAATAAAGATTCTTGACAATTTCCAGGGTTAATTCTTAGAAGTAGTATTATTGAATCAAAAGATAGGCACAGTTTTCAAGCTTTATGTATTAGTAGGGTAGATAGCAGCCTTCAGGCTATATTTTCAGGATTTGACAAGGGTCCTTTTAATTCACAAACTATTCTCATCTACTTTGCAGATGGCTGAAATTTTATCACCTGTTGCTCTTTTGTAACACACAAGTATTCCTGAAAGAGGTAATTCATTGTGCCTGGCAGGCATTTATTCTGAACAATGTGAAGGAATTTATCTGATATTTAGTTCTTATAACTAAAGTTTGAACACAAGACGGAGGCAAGGGATGTTAGAGCTTTGAACGAGTGGAATGATAAGAGGAAACAAAGTCTTCCTTTACTTCAGTTCTACTAAGATCAATTGAATAACTATTATATAAAATCCAGGATAGTATGTACCTAGTTTTAGGAGTTTAAGTTATAATCTCTCTCTACAGTGATTCAGGCTGTTAACTGTGAATGCTAATTAATACTGTAGAGAGACTTATGGTCCCAGATATGGTGCATATATATGCTGGATAGAGATGCAGGAGGGAATTAATGAACTCCTAAGCAACCTTACTCTGTTTGAACACACTGTTTGCAAAGTGTGAAATTACTTCCTTGAGATGATGAGGATGCGGAGTGCAGCCTTGGGTAGTTTACAAAGAATACTCTTTACTGTAGGGTCTCTATTTCATTAGACAAAATATTTATATCATTGGAATGTCTCCTTGAAAAACAGGTGGATAAAGAGATAATAGTGACAGACAAGGCCACTAAATAGATAAAAGTTGGAGTGCTTGCTCCAGTCAGGAAACTTTGAGCTGTTGCTTCTTATCTTTTATTCAGTGGAAATTTATGTGTCAGATGATAGGGGCAAGCCTGTGCTTCCTCTGCAGAAACTATGGAGAATAATAGATTTTCTAGAAATTATACATTGTTGTCTGTATATACCTTTTCTTTACTCAACTCTCAGTCCTAAATATCTTCAGGATTTTAAAATCCCAGTCTATTATTATCAGACTGATTCTTTTTCTTATAATAGTGGGTCGCTAATAATATGTCCCTTGTGATGCTTAAAAATAGTGATACGCTCTCATTACCACATCTATTAGCCCCAGATTTACTCAGCTTCAGTCTAAACTGGGCTAGGCTTTTTAAAATTTATCATTAACAATCTCCAGACTCTATCTAGTTTTTCTAGTGGCTTCTTAAAACATCAGTAAATGTCTTAGGCCATTGACAAATCAGAAGATTCCTGAAAAATAGATGGCAATTTGAAAAAGATTTGCTGCAATAAATAAATAGAAGAAAATATAGTTTTAAGTAATTCTACTTCTAATACATTTCTACATTCATGTGGAACTTTGGAGATGAGAGAAGTGTCACAAAATATTTTAATTGATGTAACTTCTTTGAAGCATGGTTTTATTGATTTGGGTCTTAAAGGACAGATTCTAATACTGGCTTCACTTCACACTTCCTAATACCATTTGAAAACACTGTTGCTGCAGGGTGACTTTTACTTATATAAAATGAATATCAAAAATATTAAAGGTGTCTAACATTGGTACTAAGGATATTTATTTCTAGCCCTTTGGTCCTGTATGGAAATTTCTCTTCTCCCAAGTGTTTACTGATATTCTTTTGCTTCCTAAGCTGCTAGGATTTTGCATTTCTTTTAAGTTGATTTCCCCTCACTGATAAATAGATTGAGTTGTGAGATCCATTTCATTTTTCAGTGGAAGTGAATAAATCCAGAACTTTATTCTTGGTGACATTTATTTCAACTCATCAAGGAAATGCCACCCATGTTTGCTTGGGTAGCTGCACTTCAAATAGGACGTTGAAAATGTTTGTGTGTTAGAGTAACCCTGCTATTTCTGTTTCAGAATTAACTGAAAATGTGATATGTGCCTCCCACTTGGAGAAGGAGACTTCTCAGCAATTTTTTATTTAGTTAATACGGATTAAGTTCTTAAAAGAGGTTAGTGAGACAGTAGTACCAGTATAGTTAAGAATGTTAGTCCTTTTATTTTAAACTTATTTGGTGTGTATATTTATAATTACCTTGCTCAAACCAAATCTGAGTTAAATTTTGCCAGATAATCTAATGTAGAGTAGCAAGATAATGTTTCTGTCTAATAAAAAGTGCCAGTCTAATGATTAAACCAGTTGAATTCTTCCAGGTCATAGACTTGACTGTCCTTGTGTTAAACAGTCTTGTAAAGTCCAGTCAGCTCAGAGAAGATAGTTGGCCATAGCATAAAACATGGCTTCTAAACCCCTCAGCAGGGCTGTGGGCAGTACTGTTTTCCTTAGAATGAGGTATGTTTCAGATGCAATAAGAGGCCACCTGTTACATTTAGATGGTGAAAGAATGTGTGCATCTAGTTCTATCCATGAGAGTAAATAATCAATAGTAGTAAGGGCGGTTGTTTGTGGTTGGTAATAATATAGATTTGGATGAATTAGGAAGAAATTGTCCATGCCATTGCTAAAGGGTTTTATGGTTTATTGACTCAACCCACATTACATTTGTTGAACACTGTGAAATTATGTGCCTTTCATTTTTCACTAGAAGTGAATAAATCCAGAACTTTATTCTTGGTGACATTTATTTCAACTCATCTAGGGAATGCCACCCATGTTTGCTTGGGTTGCTGCACTTCAAATAGGATGTTGAGAATGTTTGTGTTTTAGAGTAACCCTGCTATTTCTGTTTCAAAATTAACTGAAAATGTGATGTGCGGGATATAGTGGTAAGCAAGCAGACTCGATCATTGTCCACATGGAACTTAATATACAGTGGAAGATATGGATATTATATGATCACTCATATAAATATAGCCTACTAGTGATAAGTACAAACGGTACTACAGATTATTATATCAAGTGGACTCTGTTTGATGGTGACTTATGATATAAAATTACCATAGCTATATAGCTGACCTCCTCTCCTCCTATACCAAACTTTTCTTGTCATATGAATCTGGGATATTGTCTCTCTTCTATCTTAGTCATTAGGCCTGTTATCTTATCAAAAAGGGGTTAGTCTAGAGCCAGGAAGTGAAAGATGAGGGTTATGAGGGCAGGGAAGGGATGATTATACAAGACCCTGGAAGGAATCACAGGAGATTAGAACAAAGGCTGGAATTTTACCCCCCAGCTATATGGTATTCAGTTTTGTGTGACTTATACCACAGATGTCCTAGATTTAAAATTATTGGGAGTTATTATTAAATATAATATGTAATAGATATATTTATCACCGTATAGTGACATTTATATTCCACATACTTATAAATATATGCTGTAATATATATCACGTACATATTAATAATTATTAAACATTGATATTTAATCCCAAAACTTCAGACTAGAAAGTGGAGACACCTTTTACTTATGTCGTATCACATGCCTGCAGTGAAGTATAACGGGAAGATATATGAATATGGGGGGTCAGGAGACTCTTGCTCTGTCACTTACTCTCTGATGCCGGTATTCTCCATTCCTTCTTCTATGAAAGAAAAGTGGTTGAACGATGGTGCCAGCATTCCCTCGCCTGTGATTCTGTGATACACTTGGGCTTCTTTACTTAGGTATCCATCTCCAAATGAGTCAGATAGTCCGATTTTCTTCCGCTGAGCTGATTTGCAGCCCCTTTCAGGAAGGTGGAAGGCTTGGAGAAATGCCGTCTTGAGAAAGCAAATACATTATTCATCTTGTCAAACTTTTATAAAATGAATAATTGTTGGCAGAAAGTATTTAAAGATGTCTTTTTCTTCCTCGTTAAATAAAAGTCTAATTACTAAATGTGGAATGGGATCTCCAGATTGATGGTGAGGGAATTGGCTTCTCATCCTATTTTCACTTCTAGTGTTAAACTAGGATGACGATAGATCAAACAATAAAAAACTGCAGGTGATTTACAAAATTCACGGGTCTTACAGATATTCTCTAAGGCCATCAAACTTGCTTTGTCCTAAACTGAGTAGCTTATGGCGTTTCTCTTATTTCTTTAATCATTATTACTTCCGTTGTGTTAGTAGTTTAAGATAAACACACATTAACATAAAAGATTATTATTTCCAATAAATTCTGATTTCTGTGTACAATAAGGAAAAAAATTATTTGAAAGAGAATATAATAAAACGTGTTCAGATATCATGGCTGCTTGATTTAGTTTAGACTTCAGGAACAATGGGAAATCATTAGAAGCAAGTATAGTGCTGCTTGATTGACACTTGTTTTCTCAGGACCTGTGCTAAGTGAAAGCACTGTTACGAGAGAGAGAGAGAGAGAGAAAGAAAGAGAAAACAGTGTTACTTTAAAGGCAGAATCAACCTCCCATTTTCTGATTTTCAGGTCAGCTCTACAGAAACGTAGTGACATTCACTATGTGCCAAATTATGGAATAGCCCTCACGAAAATAATGTCATGGTTCCTGTTCTCCAGATTGTCATAGTCCCATCTGGAAGCAAGACATGGAGATGAAGTGAAACAAGTATCATGATATTGTACAAAGTAGAAAGAAAGTCACCTTTAAGAGAAGTTCAGGGAAAGGCTTCACAGAATTGATGATTCATGAGCAGAAATTTTAAGAAAAGTTCATTAGCTGAACACAAAGAGAAGGCAAATGGAAAAAAGATAAATGTGTGAAGTCTTAGAAGTGTAAAATAGCTGTGAGTGTGAGTGCTTGTTATTGCTACTATGCAGAGTTTGGTGAAGTGAGGGAGGAGGAATTGAAATGGGAGAGGGGAAATGAGACCATGGTGAAGAGAAAGAAGGGGTCAGAAAAGGAAGGTCTTATCTTCCATGTGTAGCACCTTGGCTTTTATCTCTAAGCAATGGAGAGACGTTGAAGACGTTTGAGCTTGTCACTTCATGATCAAATTTGCATTTTGGAAGATTATTTATGACTGGCTTAAGGAAAATGGTGTGATGGGAACCAGATTGTATGGTAGCGTGGAAAGGTAATTAAAAGGGTAATGCAGTAGTTCAAATGAGCGATGAGATGATTTTCTGCTGTAAAACTTTCTATTGATTCATACATATACTGCCACATTTTAAAATGTCAGCAAAGTGAAAATATTTTTAGTATTCAGTAGAACTAATTAATTGCTGCTTTTATAGTTTGAAATTATTTATGAAAGTAATAGCAATGAAAAATTGAAAGAGGGTTAGTATTTTATTTGTCA